CAATACAAAGGTCTTAGATAAATTTTGAAATGGGAGAGTTTTCTCAAACAAAAATTTAACAAAACAATTTTATCTTACTGTCGGTACAAAATTCATTCGACTATTCGTCTCATTAATTACGTATTGTTTTATTAAAATTACTACATAGACGTTAGATTTATTTTAATTTTAATTTAACAGTATATTTATTATATTTATTTTTATTGATACAAACTGTGTAATTTTTTAAATTGATCGTTTAATGAACATACTTTTTAAATTTTTATCTTGTATAATTTTATCGTGGAACAAATTGACGAGTATTGCCAAACACTGTAAATATATTCTTGCTATACTTTCTATGAGAATACTCTATATTCGGTACACGAAATGATCGCGAAACGGGAGCTATTATATAGTGGTTTGTAGTCTAACTCGCGGAAATTGGCGATGAATGAACGCGATGCACTGGCTTAATTGGATCGGCATTTCCGAGGGCTATCGGCCGGTCGAAATTAGCTCGCTTGTACCCATCGCTCGCACCATCGATTGTACTCTCATGTGTTCTTATCATTATCACGACCGAAATCCCTTTTGCTTTGGCTTTGCGCTTTCGTTCATTATTAATCAAATGGAAATTGATACCACGATATTCCCAGATGTCCTCTCGCCTACTTATCATTTCGATGTAATAGCACATGAATTTCTGCCAGATTTTGGACTCATCGTGTGCACAAGGTGTCCCTGAATCATTCAGATAATATTTAGGACCTTTTTTATGAAATTACAAAATTTTAAAGATATCTAAATTATTAATGATTTTAGTTAAAAAAACTTTGCATAAACTCTTAATTACGTAAAAAAAACCCAAATATACAAATTATTGAATTCTCTAAGCGCTTTCAGAAAACAGAGATTTTCAAAATATCTTTGATTCAAAAGAAGAATTATAGTCTTGTCTGTTATTATGAAAGAAAAAGTCGTTCAATTTAATCTTCCGGTTATAAAAGCGGGAGTGCTAGTGGCTAACCGGAAGGAGATTCCTTTTTGTTGAATCCCCTGTGAGAGTAACCGGTTACCAACGACTCATGACCTATCGATTCGCCCTATATCAAAGCTTGCGATTGGAGCACGTATCGGAATTGCAAGGGAATTGCGCCTCGTTGTCGATAAGCGTGGAAGTCGCGCACTTTCTGAACGATCCAGTCGAAACTTCGTTCGACTTTCCCCTTTCGAAGACTCGAATCGACTATCGAAGACAGTTTCACTTCCAGACATTCGATTGCATCCAACAGTTTGAAAATCTTATTTTGAAAAAACCTTCCCATTAATTTATAAAAAATCTGTTATCCACGAAAGAGAGTGAGAAAGAGAGAAATAATTAATATTGATATAATAGTACTGATGACGATCGGCGCTTCAAGTGCATTTTATGTGTTTGTCAGTATACTCAAAAAATAAATCTTTAGACAATAAAAAGCACATTTTACAATAATTATTTTATTGTAAAATACTTCAATAAAAAAATGTCAATAAACAACGTCTCTTTAATTTTAATGATGTGGACGAATTCTAGATTTTTTTAAATTAAAATATTTGCAAGTGAGTGAATAATTATTCGGGCTCGGTCACGGGCTTCGCGCGGAGAACCGCTGCGCGCGAGTGAGACACGCTTGCTGAAAAAACTCTCCGCGCTTTGTTTATATTGAGTCCACTGCGCCGCGCGCCAATGGTTCTCCGCGCGGAGTACATGACTGAGCCCGAACGTTCGGACCCTAATAATTATATTACAATTAAATTCCAAAAATATATTTTTATGTAAAAAAAATTTTTTTTTTTTTTTCTTTAAAATATTAAAGTTTTAGAACGGTTTTTAAATTACTACCGATAAGATTTTTAAAAGTGATAACAAATATATTTAATTTATTAAATATGTTAAATTTGTTATCAATCACGTTTTTTTTTAAAACGTGATTTCGCCACAACCCAATTTATTATAGGAATTAAGGTATACAGGATTCAAAATCGTCACTTGGTTACACTGTTTTATATGGAATAGTCGCACTTTTGCTTGCAGCTTTCAGTCAGAAATCCCGTATGCAATTCGGCGGCGACTATCACCAAAGACTCGTCGTGACCATTAAAACACTGGTGATCGAGAAAGTTTGCGAATTTATCGCTGCAATCTTGTCCAGGAATATTTATGACCGGTCGGCTGGTCGCGAAAGTTTACTTCGTTTTCGCGTGAAACTCGCGCGTTAGCCGTTAACACCAAAGCTCTCGTCTGGCTTTGTGACCGTCGCCATCGTCTCCTCCAACGTATCAATCCAGCCTAGAACCGACAGACAGAACAGAGCCGGCTGTTGTGTTTTTAGACGCACGCGAACGAATTGCAGACAGAGTGTAAATCCGTTGCGAGCACATCGGATCGAGCTAGAACTTGGTGACAAGCTTGCTGAATCCGCTCGCGTGAACTTGCAATGGCGCGTTTAAACTTTAAACGACATCACCTTCTCTCATGCGTTTTACAAGTCGCATTATAGTACAAGTTTGCGACGATCGAATGGGTTCGGTGTCGCGACATCGACTTATAAGGGACGTGACTGTTATCGCCGATTTGTGTGAAATGCATGTTGTTTATATACGAAGTGTCGCAAAGACGTTACTAGCTTCATTGATTCAGTGGTTGATGTGAAATCAATACTTCTTTAATATGATGTATTTCGAATTTTTACAGTGATTTCAATCGATTGTGTACTGTGAATACAGATATTACGGTTGAACGAGTCTTTTAAAGTGTAAAGAGTCTTTAATAAATGAAGATTAAAAAGGACTTTGGAAAAATAAACTCAATAATGCAAAGAAGTAATAAAAGTTTATCTTTCAGTTAATTTTAGATGAATACAAAGAATGTATTCATCTAAAATTATGTATACATTATAAATTTTAAAATAGATTAAAAAATTATATATAACATGCGTCACTTTTTATCCACTTTCAAATTTATTTAATATATGTACGACTGTTTGATCAACACACACACTTAAAAAATATTTTAACTAGACACAAAGACTCTGTATTAAATCTTGATTAAAGATCCATATCTGAATTATAATTAAATACCAAGAACTTATAAAGTATGTTAAAAATTTTATATTTTAATTAAAAGATTTTATGTGTAAAATTTTAATAAAATATTTCAAAAAAGATATTTTTTTCGTTATTATGGAATAATTTAAAAGACGAATAAGACTAATCGTAAATCGTATTTAAAGATTTTTTTATATTTAGAAAAAGAATCGGAACACCCCGTATATGACTCCTATTTTACATACCTCCGATCTCGTGCGGGAGGGCTATCGTTCGAATAGCCGGAGGGTGAGTTTCATATTCAATGAAATCTCGAGGCACAAGAAAATTGTAATTCGCCTCCATTACTGGCCGTCACTTCGAGATAGCATTTAACTTTCCCGGAGGCAGCCGAAATTTCGACTCGAATCTATGTAAAGCGTTTCAATGGACGTACATCCGTTATAAATGGACGACAAGTCTGATCCGCTGACTTATTTCCTTGATATCGACGTAAGCAGTATCCATATAGATTGAATAAATTGCAGTGTGTGGCTCGTATAAAAAAATGATATTCGAAATAATATGTACAGAAGGAATATTGCCAGCTTCTACACATTGATAGAAAGTCATCACAATCAAAGAGATTATATTTAGTTATCAATATTTTTTTTAATACAAAGAAACTCTGTTTTGTATTTATATCTCTTATTATTTTGATGAGAGCGTCTGAAAACTTCGTAAGTTTAAATTATATATAATTCAGCGCAGATTGATGCGATGTTATTTTTACGACGTTTTTCAGACATATACGCCGAGGAATGCAATTTATTGGAGGTGATTACTTTCGCGCGCGCGCACGTTCGTCTGATCTATGTCTTTCATCTTTTATTTGCATTTAACTCGCGCAAATGTGAAACGTTACGATCGACGATAGATTGCTATTAATAGTCTTACTGTAGTGACATTGCGCGAATATCCGCGATCCTCTTACATCCGTCGAAGTGAAAAGATTTGTTGCTGATATATTTTCGCGATTCTCCCTCCATCTATTTTTTATAAACGATGTAATAATCAAAATTCCTAATTAAAATTTGATTAGAATAGCGCGACGCGCAATGAATTTTTTATCTCATATACAGTTCCGAATTCAATTGCACAATATGAATTGGATGATATTCGTTGCTGATTATTCGTATACGGTACTAATAAAATCTTTTAAAAACGTTTATCTTTTTTCAAGTTATATAAAACAGTTCAGTAATTATATTTGAGGTATAAAATGTTTTATTATATATGTATTAATGTATTTCTTTACACAAAACATAAAGTTCATTATTTACAATTAAATACATCAATCTCATGGAATCTTACAAGCTAATTAATATTATTATCATCGCTTTATCGTAAAATTTACGTCATAACAAAATTATTGCGTCCTCACAGAATATCACATTCGAACATGCTTATTAGAGAATTAAAAATTATTTTTGTACTGTTTATTGAACTTTATCCTGCAAAATTATTTTTTCTAATAACAGATTCTTTATATAAATTTCATTTTCCGCAGTATTCAAGAGTTAATAGTGATACGTAAACAAGAACATTTTTTACGAAATTAATTTTAGATAGTTACATAATACTATTCAAAAATACGATTATTAGTTATTTTTTAATTTAATTTGTTTCAAAAGGTTTCCAATTTCAATTAATTAAGTATACATCATTTCATTTATAAAATTATACATATTTACAGAAATAAATTGAAAACTAATGATTTTTAGATAAGGAGAAAGTCAACTCATTTTGGTCATTGACAGTCTAACATAAAAATAATATTTGATGATGATACTTTTTAGATACTTTGTAAAATTGTTCACTTCAATATTCTTACTAATTAAAAGGTAGAAAATGTAATATATTGCTGTAACATTAAGTCACTCGATAAGCAGTTACGACATGCTGTCAATTTGCTCAATTTGCATTCGATCGATTTTTCCATTGGGCAGATATGGCATACGTCTCCTGAAGTGCAGGCCTCCACGCAATTTGTAGATATCAGGCAAATTGTTTGCAACAAATTCTATCAATTCCACTGCCGTTACCTAGAACACAATAATGTAGAATTTTGATAAAAAAAGTTTATTCGACAATTATAGAAAAAAAAAAAACAATCAGTTTTAAACCTGCGTTTCAAATTTTTTTTTAACATAAGCCACAGGATGTTGACCATTATTACTATGTGGCACAGATCGTACAACAACTTCTGACACTGCTGGATGTTGTAGTAAAGTATTCTCAATTCTTGTGGGTGAGAGATAGAATATTTTATATTTAATAAGGTCCTTTATTTTATCGATGATGTAGATTTCGCCACTTCTTTCATAATAACCATAATCTCCGGTGCAGCGCCATATTTGACTAACTGAAAACATGTAATATTATTTTATTTTATTTTGTTAAGTTTGGTGACATTGTAAACCACTCCAGTATAATACATATTAGAAAAATTCTTATACTGACAAAATGTTTTTGTCTCCTTGCCGATGCTATTTTCTTTTGCTTGAAAGTTGTAACAATTTTGCAATTTGCACGTCTTAGGAGAGCACCATTTGAATAAAAATTTGTACCAGATCGTGCCTGTTTTGCACGAATTAATTATTTCTTCCGATTTCATATCATAAAACAATAACTGAACATTTTTAGCCACATAACCGCTAGATCCGGGCAGTTGATTATTTCGTTGAAAAGCAGCAATTATGCATGATTCTGCTATACCTTGAAAATGCTACGATTATTAATTTCAGATAATGCATTCCTATACCATTAACAATTGGTTAAAATTGTACATACTGTATACTTGAACGATAGAAACATTTATAAATTTCTCGTTGAGTTTTTCTTGAGTATCACTGCAATTGATGCCTGAGTCATCGATTATCAATTGCTTTAAAGAAGAGATATTGTACATACGAATATCAGTATAGAACATTTTAGTGCACATTTTACTTTCAAGAAATACCCACGACACCTAAAACACATAAATATTTTATATTTTATACATTTTCGAAGCAAGATTTGATTATTTTTATGTCACCTTGTACTTCTCTATCGTTTTGTACAAATTTTCATCGCTGAATTGCGAACATTTGACCACTGTTACGTACGAAATTATACTACGAACGGTCAAGATCACACTATAACTCCAATTTAAAGATCCATACCATAGACCAATGTCACCGGAATTCATTACAGGTACCTCCTGGTTTGATGGATATGTAAATGCAAAACAACGAATATACACTTTACTATCAGGATAATTTGTTGCACTGGGAGAAAACATTATGGCTACGATATCCATTGGTTTCAACTTAACGCAGGAAAATTTGTCGATTTTGTTCTTATCGTACACGTTGTCCATAATTGATTCGAAAGAATCGACATCTTCAGTTCTACCAAAAGTTATAATTTTCAGATCAGTTATGATTCTTTTTTCGAAATTTAAGAGTTCAATAGCTAATTTAAGGTGCTTCATATTATCACTATCGATAAAGATTATATCTGGTTCATGTTCTATTAGAAAATACATGATCCGTATAATATCTAAAAAGATTTATTCGGTAAGTAAAAGGTACACAGATATATGTGTGTGTGTGTGTAAATGTTAAAATAAATTATACTGAATTTTAGAAAAAGATCGATGTACCATTCATGTACTTTTTATCCCACGTCTTAACAATAGCACCAATATATAAGCTTGCTAGAAATGGTATATATTCGAGCATTTTATGACGTGTGCATATTACTATTGTGCTCGTTTTACAGCGCAATTGCCTTAACCATAATGCACATTTAACACTGTTCTCCCGCATCTGCTGGTATGTGGTTTGTTCTTCCGTAACTGCATCTATCTTCAATACGTATCAGTCGCATAATATTTTTATACATTTATATTAATGTCTTTTCAATAAGATGTTAATCTTTATATTATTTATGGAAATACTTAACGTTACGATATAAGAGTAGGGCTTTATTGTTACCTGACCGATAAACTCCGGCTTAGATTTAAATGCGCTCAAAATCATGTTTCCAATATTTACGTTGTGAAGTAATTCTTCTTTCCCGCTCAATATGCGGGGAAGCACGATTCCCAATTTATTGTTGGACTTCTAAAAGATGCACAATAAAGTTGTTAATAAGATTTATGTTTTTACTAACATGATGGATTGTATTATGTATTTATCTGTTTACTTTAGACGCCATATCGCTTTTAATTCTGTAAATTAATAATAATACCGACAACACTTTTATCACATGAATGTTGAGTAGCTCTTCTTGTGTCACAGGCACTGAATTTAAATTCTTATACTAATATTTATTTCTATATGTTTTTTGTGATATAATAACGTTATGGTTAAAAGTTAAACGAATTTGTTTTGTTTTAAAATGTCCTTTTAATCAAGCCGCTTGTAGTTGATGTTATATGACAATATTTTTATTTCTATTTTGAATTTTATTTTTATATTTTCTGTTGTTATAGTTTCAGTGGTCGATTTATTTTCTAAAATGTTTAAACTTGACTTATGTTATTAATTTAATACGTTCTACCACTTGTAGTTTAAAAAATATTATCTTAAATACGAATTTATCCTTTATGAAGTTGTAGGTATTATAGTATTTCAATAATAATCACTTAACCATCCAATATATACTATTTATCATCTTTACGTACAAATTAAACTTAATCTACCTCCCAGGTCAAAAACTAATTGAGCTATACTAGTTATTAACAACTAGTTAAGTTTAATTTGAAATTTATTTGAGCGGATATCAATTTAATTTACGTACAAAGTTTTTTTCGTAACAACTACAACCAGAATGCAATTTAAAAAATTAAAATTTATATCTCAATTTGACATTAAAATGGTTATAACTAATATGTTTATAACTAAATGATTATAACTAAAATGGTTATAACTATATATAACTTGTATATAAAAATACTATCTCTCTATATCATTCGAATTTAAGAAATCAGAGATGTACAAAAGATTATTCATAAAAAAAATGTTTCTGATTTATTTATTTTATTGATTATTTATCAGTAAAACTATCGCAGTTTTTGCAATTTCAGCATTATGACTCCGTTAAAAATGTGGAAAGTAATTTGTCTGTATCCACACGAAGAAAATTTTATATTTAAAATTACTATGTGGTAGAAGCTGCGGACCATCGTGCAATTATAAGTTTAAATGCTATAACCATTTCTTTAAAAACAATAATATAAAGTGATTTTTACACTTTTTCATAGTAAAAATTTTTTATTACAAAATCAAACCTTGTTAAATAAAAGTTAGTATTGTAAAGATAATAAAAAATGCATACCTAACAAATATTGTTTGCATACCATAGTGAAAATTAACTCTTTCCATAGCTTAAGCATTGGTTTAATAAAAATTATTTTATTTATGTGATAAAATTAGTATTACCACAGTAAAAATTATGTCGGAATATTGTTGTATTAGGATCCACCCGAAAATACAAGACATAGTGAAATGTAATTTAAAATTGTATTAAAATTTAATATAAAATTTTCTCCGTGCACAAAAAACTATATATCTATTTATATTATATATTATTTAATTTAACAATTATGATTTATTCTGTCAAGCATATATTTTTGATTGATAAAGTGAAATTGATTCTGCTCACTTTGTTTCTTTAACTTGTGTATAATTTAATATTAAAGTTATATCTGATAAATAGACACTTTATAATCAAATATCAAGAACAATACTTATTTAAATCTAGGCCCATCAAATATAAGTATGCCAAGAAACTATGCCCCTTGCTATAGTTACTTCCTATTTACCTCCGACTTATCAAGTATCAATAACTCAACATCTACAAGTTTGCTGACGATATGACTGTTCTGATCGCACATAAAGACCCGAAAATATAGCATCTTCAAAATATCACAGAAATACAAATTTGGTTTAAAATTTAATGTATCAAAGGGCCAATAAGCAAAAACCTGTTTATGTAACATTTACCTTAAATAAAAATACGTATCCCTTAATAAAACTAACAATAAATAATAAAGAGATTCCATATAAATCAGGAAAATATTTAGGTTTGTATTTAGTCCGCAAAATGACGTAAAAGTTTTCACGTATGGAAGAAAAGAATACAACTAGAGCATAAAGTCAGGAAAATGTACTGGCTTCTGAAACATAGGTCTAAGCTCTCTCTGTGTGAGTAATAAGGTATTGCTCTATATAAATCTACATATTATAATGCCAGTGTAGACGTATACGATATTTATAGCTTGAAGATCAGTTTCGAATTCTAATATAAAAATTTTAGAAAGATTTCAATCTAAAGTTTTCCGAATATTAGTGAATGCGTCCTAATTTGTATCTAAAGAAATTATATGTCGAGATTTGAAAATCTTAACCGTTAAAATGTAATAAAATTAGGGTTGTTAAAAATTACTCTCTTATCACCAGGTCACTTCTTGTAATAAACAATTTGATAATAATATTGTAATTTTTTATGACGGTAATGCTAACTGACTAAAAGTTAAGATTGTCCTAAGGTTGGAAAAGTCACTTTGAAATGTAACTTGTCATCATTATGCGTTACTTACTGAAAGACTAAAAGTACCGAATAACGAAGTAACGAAATAGTAAAGTCACTATTTCGTTACTTACGAGCATAGTCAGAGGCGCGTAGCAAGGGGTTGGAAAAACTGGCCCTTGTCAGGGGCGCACACAAAATCACAATCGTAAAGTACCGAGAGCACCGAGCTAGACCCAGTGGGAACACCAAAATCACGATTGTAAAGCGCCGAGCTTTTGTGCATGTTGCTATCTAGCAATTACAGTACTAGGCCGATTTTTATTAGCTTGCGGTATTTTGATATTTATCCAAACATCAAAACTGCATTACGAATTTATTTAACATTACCAGTGACTGTAGCATCTTGCAAACGCAGTATTAGTAAACTTAAATTAATAAAAAATTATCTGGATTTTTCGATGAACCAAGAAAGATTAACCAATCTTACTTTATTATCAATTGAACATAAAGTGCTCTCATAAATTAATTTGAATAATATAATTGATGAGTTCATTGTAGTAAAAGCAAAAAAAGTAAATTTTAACTTTTTTGAAATATATTGTAACTTAAAAAGCAATATTTATAATTTCTAATATATATATTAATGTTTAAAGGCATAAATTAAATGACATTTTTTTAACCTGTAATTATATATATATGTAAATAAAGTTGTAATTATTGTTGGAAAGATTTTTCTCAGGCAGAGCGCCAATATTGTTTTCTTGCCAAGAGTGCAACAAACTCTCACCGCAAGAGCATAGTAATGCGTAATGATAACAAGTTACTTTCCCAACCTTAGCACAATCTTAGTTTTTTCAATCATTTAGCGTTATCGTCATAAAAAATTGCGATATTATCAAATTGTTTATTATAAAAAGTAACGACCTAATAACGAGAGACTTTAACAACCCTGATGCTATACTGCAAAGTATATATAATACTTAAAAATTTTTTTATTTAATATTGTATAATACTTAAATTAGATTCGCATCCAAATCAACTTGCGTCTAAGCTCCTCACAAATAAGATAAACGAATTAAGACTAATGAAGTTTAGATCATTGGATTCTACAAATAGATTTAAATAATTTTTTTATTAATTAAATGCATTATAAGTCGATAGTTATAATCAATCCCTACAATTGTATTTATAAAAGGCATATTCCAATAGGTCAAATGAAAATGATTTAAAAATAGAATTATAAAATTCATTTAATATCAAAACGTGGTACATTGTAAATATTATATACTGGGAGTTAAAAAAATATTAATTACAAATTCTATTATATTGTAATTATATTAAAGGGAAGTTCTACATTATAAAATCGTCAAAAAAATAGATTTTCTTTTTACACTTTTTGCATCTCTAAAGTGTATAGAAAGCCTGTAAAAAAATTTGCCAATATTCAAAAAAATTTTAAAGCAATTAAATGTAAGTTACAAAATATAGTAGTTAACAAAAAGTGTTATAAAGTAAAACTATAAACGCGTTTTTCTCGAATTTATGATTTTCAGACTGAAAATCGACGGAAAATGTACAACTTCAACCAATCATCCGATTGACATGAAGTTTTTTCCTACGAAAAATAGATAATTTTTATAGAGTCACGAACCTAAAGGCCCGTCTACATAAGTCGCAACATAGAACGCAGTTCGCAAGACTAGAAACGAACCTAACATATTTTAGTTATAATAGGTTGTAGGACGTAGAATGCAGGACGCAGGAAGTTGGGTGAATTTCAACTTTTGTGTCCTGCGTCCTGCATCCTTCATATTTCGGTCTGCAACCTATCACAATCTGAAATACGTTTCACTCGCGACCTGCGATCTGCGTTTTGCGTCTTATGTAGAATGGCCTTTAAAATGCTATAAATTTTCCAAAATAACTATTTCTTTAAACAGATTGAAAGTAAAAAAAAGTTCGTGTAAATTGACACTTAATTTCAAATGATTGCCATTCCGTAAATTAAAAAATTTTTCAAATAAAATGAGAGGTTCGTGATCTCACAAATTTAATACATTTCAATAATGTATTGGTTTATTTATCTCAGATAAACTGTCGACAGTCGAGTCAATTAGCCATGTACGGGCTGCACACTCTGTACGGGCTGCACCCATAAGGCTATAGTCACAATTTTCTACATTTCTAAAAATAAACAATTTTTTATATGTTAAAATATAAAAAAACATAATGCAAAAGGAATTATTTTGATATTCTTTTTCCTTTCCTTATGAAAAAAATTGGTAAAAAATACATAAATTTTGAACCTTTAGACTAGAACTTCCACTTAAATAAAATTTCATGGAAATCGAGTCTTTCAACTTATTTACAAAAAGTACTGTTAATTTTTAAGTCTGTAATAAAATCCGATTGCAAAACATAATCCTTTGTTAGATGCAGAATAACTCAAAATAGAATTTTAAATTTCCAATATTACATTATACATATAATCTAATCATTTTAATCCTACAGATAGTGTCATACATTATCGTGGCATGATGTCGTATATATATGTTTTTTCTAATAAAGAAAAAAATGTAATAATAAAAAGTTATAATAAAAAAGTAATTAATATATAACGAGTAACATTACTCGCTATAAGTAACAAGTAAAAAGTAACGCATTACAAATATTGTAATACCTTTCTCAATAACTAATAATTTTTTCAATTGTGTGATTACAAGATCGAGTAACTCCTAACCTAATTTACCGTTATAAAAGATAAATGTTACCGTTATAAAAGAATTATCAATATCAAATAGTTATAACGGCATTATTATTTACTAATTTATTATAACAAAGCAACGATAAAGAAAGAACAACATTACAAGTAACGTGTTATTTGCCATCCCTATAAGAGTAGTAGTTCTCGTCAGTTTAATACTCAGCAGCCATTAATCTCTCATAAGTAATTTGATCAAATTTTCCTTTACCAACCCATTCGTATGCAATGAAAACTATATCTCTTTGTCGAAGATTACTGGATATCCGATCTACCATAAATTCCATTATCTCTTCTTCTGTCACCTAACCACAACGTGAACTTTTAACAAACAATTTTTTTGACTTTACGAAAAAAAATAACCTTAGCTTTAAACCTTAACTCCCGGTTTTGTCCCAACATGAGCTCTTGGATGCTGACCATCAACAGGATAATTCACACCAACTACGACGGCCTCGGTTACAGTCGAATAGAGTAATAACATGTACTCTATATATTTCTTTGAGATTATAGTATCTTTATATTGAATGTAACGGTCTTTCCTTACAAAAGGAATGATGTGCCATATGCCAATCGGAGAATAGTAACCCTTATCATTAGTATAATACCACGCTGTAAATGCAATATCGTTATATTAATATATCTTCGTTAAAGGTTTGTGATTGTTTGTAATTTCTAAATTTGGATAATATTCTAGATAGTTATAATACTTATAATTTATAATATCAATTAAAAAGAAGCTATTACGCATTATTGAGCCAATATTTGTGTCACGTACGTTGTATCGTTTCACTGATATAAGATATATACGGAGTTTTGCAATAAATTGCGCCAGATTTGTTTGGAATTGTTACTCCTTCTTTATTATTAACAATTGCTGCTTGAACATTTGGGACTGCATAATTTACATAATTCATTCCATTTGTTTCTCGTCGATACATAATCACGCCAGTTTCTGGTCTACCTAAAATAATATCCATTGTACAAGTCGTATTTCATAAATTAGTAGTCTTTAATTTTTACAATTTCATTATCTTTGATTACAAGTATAATTATAACAATTTACTCACTGTATACTCGAATGATAGGAATAAATTTAATAAAGGCAAAAAAGTTTGCTTGAAAATTTGTCTTCCAATAATCGAATAGCAGTGCTTCCAAACTAAATACAGATAATGAGTTATCAAACATAGAGTATGAAGTGGTTTTAAATGGAAAGACGTTACTGCACGTATTGATGTCAAGAAATGCCCACGTAACCTAAAGCATGGAAACATCAAATACACACTCTCTCTCTCTCTCTCTCTCTCTCTCTCAAAGCAATTCGGATATTTTCATATATTACCTTATACTTGTTTATGACCTTTACAAAATTTTCCATGGTTTGTACTACAGATTTTATCGCTGTTACATGTGAAAGTATAGCGTGAACGGTCAAAAGCGAACCGTGAGTCCAACATAAAGATCCGTACCATAGGCCAATTTTACCGGGAGACATAACAGGTGTCTGCCTGTTTGACGGGGATACGAACGATATGTAAGGAATTTCTACGCCATCTTTACCGTAATCCGTTGCAGAAGAACAAAATGTTCTAACTGCGATATCCCTTATATCATTTTTCGCGCAGGAAAACATGTCAATTTCAGTCTTATCAAAGTCATAATTCAGTATAACTTCCAGGGAGTTAAATATGAAGACTGAAGATTCAACTTTACCAATGGTTATTACTTTAATTACTTTTTTAATTTTTTTTAAAATCGCTGTGGCTGAGATGAGCTCACTAAAGTGGTCATGATCGACAAAAATTAGATCTGGTTCATATTTTAACAACAAGTACATAACTTGTAAAACTTCTAGAAACATTTTAGTAATTAGACGACATTCAAATAAATAGGCATTGGCATGAAAAGAAATTATTGCTAAATTTCGAAAAATGATAAATTTACCTTCGAAATGTTTTTCCTCCCACGGATTTACAATAGCACCGATATATATACTCGCTAGAAACGGTGCATAAACGGCTGATGAATTGCGTGTACATATTGCTACTACATCGCCTTTTTTTATACCTTCTTTCTTTAGCCATAATGCGCACTTCACACTATTCTCTCTCATCTGTTGAAATGTAAGTTGCTCTTCTGTCTCTGCATTCACCTGCGAGTCGTATTATTACTTATTAATGTTGCATTCATCTAGTATATTTTATTATCACGTTTCTTATATTGACAAATATTTCTGCTGTTTATCCACGTAGCATAAAGTAATTTTTATTATTTGAATACGTTACCTGTCCGATAAAATTCGGGTCAGACTTGAATGCATTTAAAATTAAATCTCCAACGTTTTCTTGCATAATCGGCTCTTCTTCGCCAATTAATTGTGCTTGTACATTTTGAATAAGTAAATTGGGTGGAACATCTGATATGACATGCTAAACAGATATATACTGTAATGTTAAAATAACGCTTCTATCATATTATATGGTATATACGTTTACAAATGTGATGAAATAGATCTTACACACCACATTTTTATATGTATGTATATATATATATATATATTATATATTCCTTTTTATATTTTTTATATGTATTTTATTATATTTATTACCTCTTTATACTGTTTTTTAACTTTTTTTTTAAACTTTTTTTTATGTTTCTTTTCATTGAATACTGTAGATTGCATATCGATAATCAAGGATAAATTTCTTCGCGTTGGTGATAACGTTGATGTTCTTGCTGAAAGCAGATGTTAAAACAGCACTTTACATTCTGACGACGAATGCTACGTGACTAAGTTTTGAATTGTATTAACGAATACAATATTTGTTTATGATTTCAATCTATAAGTAACCTTTCGGTAAGAGTTTAGTTTCAGTCAAAGTATCTGGATAAGAACACATACACACGCGCACACATACACACAACACACGTACACGCATCAGAAATAATTAAAAAAGAATTTTTTTACTGAGATCATATTAAATTTAACTGATATCTCTGGTCAGTCTCTTTCGCTCCAATATTGAGATCTGCAGCAAATATAATAATTTTTTTCGTCTTAAGCCCTAAACTTTCATTCTAAACTTTTCTCTTGTATGCCTTTATTGTTTACTTATTTCTTTACCAGGTGTTTATTATTGTGTCTATTAATTATATTTTGATTTATTTTCTTCTCAATAATATGGTGAAATAAATTTTGCTTCCAAAACGTACATACTAAACGATCATATATCATCTTAATACAACAGGATCGATCTTGCAATTAATAGATTTTAGAGAAAATTTACATCGGCGACAACTATTTGTTTTGTATCGATACTTTATTGTTCGCGAGATGAAAAAGAGCCGAAAACGATTAGTTCGGCGATCGAGACAAAAAATAAAATGCGCTTCTTAAATAAAAAAAATATTTTTACAACATGTAAAATATAATAAAAGATAACATTACTAATGAAATAATATATAATAGATACTAGTACTTAATATTAATTTAGTATAGGAACATATCATCGCATATACAGATGATGTGTATTTGTATATACATTTACGAGTATAATGTACGATATATATACATAGCTGACATTTCACGCGCTCAAGTATAGCACATCACACAAGCAGAATATTAAATGTGTCTCTGTGAAGTTAGCACCTCAACTTTAAAAATCGGAAATTTTAATAACAGTACTGCTTGCACCCGCAATAGTTCTAGAGTTCCTGATAGGTTTCATCAATAGTACTGTTGATTTAGGCCAAAAATTTTAAAAAATAAAAATATTCGGTGCTAACTTCGCGTGGCACCGCAAGATTTGAAAAAGCCGATTTTTATAACGGAATCACACAGTACTCGAAGAGTACTACAGTTCCTGATCGATTATAACAATAGTACTGGCCATTAAATATTTTTAAATAAATTTTTAAAAAAAGAGCTCGCACCTCAACTTTCAAAAAAATAATTTTTTTGCGTCATTTTGTAGTACTCGAAGAGTACTACAGTTCCTGATCGGTTTTAGTGACACTACCCACCTTTTTAATATGTTTAAACAATTTTTCGATCCGCGCGCTGGCACCGCACGTCAAGAGTAAAAAGGTGTCGACCCGAGTACTCCTCGTTTAATACGTTTAAGTAATTTTTTAATTTTTCCGCTGGCACCGCACGACAAGAGTATAATGCCTCTAAACAGCCAGTACTCGCGTCGAAACCTGCATATTTCTTCGGAACTATTGTAGTACTGTCGGAAAAAGTCGAAAAGTCGGCCAGTACTGACTGTTTGGAGGCACTTTACTCTTGATGTGTGGTGCCAGCGCGCGGATCGAAAAATTGTTTAAACATATTAAAAAGGTGGGTAGTAATAGTGTCACTAAAACCGATCAGGAACTGTATAGTAATCTTCGAGTACTAGAAAATAGCGTAAAAAAATAATTTTTTTGAAAGTTGAGGTGCGTGCTCTTTTTTTAAAAATTTATTTAAAAATATTTAATGGCTAGTACTATTGTTATAATCGATCAGGAACTGTAGTACTCTTCGAGTACTGTGAGATTCCGTCATAAAAATCGGCTTTTTCAAATCTTGCGGTGCCACGCGAAGTTAGCACCGCATATTTTTATTTTTTAAAATTTTTGGCCTAAATCAACAGTACTATTGATGAAACCTATCAGGAACTCTAGAACTATTGCGGGTGCAAGCAGTACTGTTATTAAAATTTCCGATTTTTAAAGTTGAGGTGCTAACTTCACAGAGACGCTGAATGTCAGCTAGGTGATTAGTTAACTTTAACCGCCATTAATTTAAAAAATATTATAGTGTCGGCACACAATTTTGGTATTGGGATCTTTGTTATTAATAAATCAGAAATATGTTGTTAAAATTTTAGCTACAATTGTGACATCCTGTATATGTTATGTATGTATATTATAGCGTAAAGAGGTGCACGGTAATATTCTCGGGCCATAACGCTGATTTAACGCTAAGACACTATCATGTTCTCCAGATTCTCTCTTTGTTTTTCATATCATAACTGTTTTAAATTTTATACTTTATAAAATCAAGATTTACAGTTACGTAATGTATTTTAGAACGTATCGAACAATTATCTTATCTACCATGTATAGCCAAAATTAAACATAAAATTGAATGAAATAATTTAGAACTTTTATTATCCACCACAATTGGTATACATATATTGTGTGTGGTTTAAAACTACTGCTAAGCAAATATTCATATAGTAATTTATTTCTTCTCACTGAAAAAAAATTTGAAATTAATTTTTACTTGATTTAGTTTTTTTTATTATTTATAACATATATACACATAAACTGCATTTTTGTCTCGACCGATTTATCAATTTTATACGAATTTTTAATAAGTCAATCATTCGCATAATATAGAATAATGGTAACATTTGTCACAACATCCGTTATAATACTATGATTTAGAGTATTAAAAAGATTTTATGTAAATATCCTAGAACATTTAATTTAATGTAATTCTATTAGAATAAATTTATAAAAGGAAAAATTCGCAACATAATAAATTTCTTATTTTCTAGTTTCACATTTAGTTACATAATATATAAATTAAGAGATATTCGTTGATGATTGTTTGTGTACAGTACCAATGGAATATCTTTTAAAAATGCTTGTTGCTTTTTAGGTTACACAAAACAGTTTAATAATTACGTTTGTATTAAATATTTTTTATTATTGATATATTTCTTACAAAATTGAAAAATTGATTATTTAACATTAAATATTAGTACCATGGAACGTTACAAATTGATAAATATCATTAACAATTCGCCTCATTGTAAAATATCACATACAAATATGTTTATTGGAAAAAGTTTCATTACTTCTGTATTAAGCATTTATTAATCATTAACTTTATTCTAATATTATTGTATTCTAAAATTTTTTTTTAAGTGGTAGATTCTATATCCAATTTTCAGTCAAATTTTTTTAAATGTCAGAGCATTATAATTTATGAGTAAAATTTAATAATGATTAGTAAAAAAAAAACATATATACTTATGAAATACTTTAGAGAGTTGAATAGCTGTTCAAAATTACAATTATTGATTATTATATTTTTGAATTAAATTTATTGTAATAAATTGCTAATTTCAATTTAAGTTACAAATATACATATGTAATATAGTTATACAACCTCTATTTTGGTTATAAAAATATACATATATACAGAAATAAATTGAAAAAATTTATTACACTATTATTATTATTATTATTACTATTAAAACGATATCTGATGATTTTTTAATACTTTATAAAATCGTCCACTGTGTGAAATATTCTCACTAATTAAAAGATAAAAAATATATTATAATATTGTTGTAATGTTAAGTTACTCAATAGAGTTACTATATGCTGGCAACTAACATTCGATCGATTTTTCCATTGGGAAGATATGGCATACGTCTCTTGAAGTGCACGCCTCCACGCAGTTTGTAGATATCAGGCAAATTGTTCGCTACAAATTGTATCAATTCCACTTCCGTTACCTAAAACACAATAATATAGAATTTTGATAAAAAAGTTTATTCGACATTATAGAAAAAAAAAAACAATCAGCTTTGAACCTCTGTTTCAAATTTTGTTTTAACATAAGCCACAGGATGTTGACCATTAATTCTATGTGGCACAGATCGTACAACGACTTCTGACACTGCTGGATGTTGTAGTAACGTATTCTCAATTTTTGTGGATGAGAGATAGTATATCCTATATTTAATAAGGTCCTTTATTTTATCGATGATATAGATTTCGCCATCTTTTTCATAGTAGCCATAATCTCCAGTACAACACCATTTGTTATTATCTGAAAACATGTAATACTATTTTATTTTATTTTTTCAAACTTTGTTATGTTTGTAAACCAATATAGTACATATTAGAAAAGCTATTATACTGACAATACGTATATGTATTCTTGCCGATAGTATCTTTTTTTGCTTTATAGTTGCAACAATTTTGCATTTTGCACGTCTGAGGAGAGCACCACTTATATATGAACTTGAACCAGATCGTGCCTGATTTGTTTGAACGAACTATTTCTTTCGATTCTATATCACGAACCATTAATTGAACATTTTTGGCCACATAACCGCTGGATCCAAACCGTCGTTGATTATTCCGTTGATAAGCTGCAATAATGCATGGTTCTGCTATACCTAAAAAATGCAACGATTATTAATTTCAGATAATGTATTTCTGTCATTAATAATTGCTTAAAATTGTACATACTGTATACTTGAACGATAGAAGCGTTTATAAATTTCAATTCGAGTTTTTGTTGTGTAGTAATTAAATTGATATCTGAATCATCGATTACCAATTGCTTCAAGGAAGAGACATCATGCATACCAATATCAGTATAAAACATTTCAGTGCATATTTTACTTTCAAGAAATATCCACGACACCTAAAACACATAAATATTTTATACTTCATACATTTTCAAAGCAAGATTTGATTATTTTTATGTTACCTTGTACTTCTCTATCGTTTCGTACAAATTTTCATCACTAAATTGTGGACATTTGACCACTGTTACGTACGAAATTATACTACGAACGGTCAAGATCACACTATAACTCCAATTTAAAGATCCATACCATAGACCAATGTCACCGGAATTCATTACAGGTACCTCCTGGTTTGATGGATATATAAATGCAAAGCAACGAAGGTACACTTTACTATCAGGATAACTTGTTGCACTGGGAGAAAACGTTATCGCTACAGTATCCATTGGTCTCATTTTCACGCAGGAAAATTCATCGATTTTGATCTTATCGTAAACGTCGTTCAGAATTGATTCCAGAGAATCAACGCCTTTAATTTTACCAAAAGTTATGATTTTTGGAGGTTTTATGGTTCTTTTATCAAAATTTACAAAATTAATAACTGACTTAAATTGGTTGTAATTTTCACTATCGATAAAGATAATACTTGGTACATACTCCGTCAGAAAGTACATAATACGTATTCTATCTAAAAAAAAAATTTTATTTAGTACGTGTAAAAAGTACATAGATATGTTTATGTATATGAATGTTAAAATAAGTTATACTGAATTTTAGAAAAATATCAACGTACCGTCCATGTACTTTTCATTCCACGTATTGACAGTAGCACCGACATATAAACTCGCTAAAAATGGTATATATTCGAGCGTTTTATGACGTGTGCATATTGTTATTATGGTATTTTTACATTGTAATTGTTGTAACCACAATGCACATTTCACGCTGTTTTCCCTCATCTGCTGGTATGTGGTTTGTTCTTCCGTAACTGCATCTATCTTCAATACGTATCAGTCGCATAATATTTTTATACATTTATATTAATGTCTCTTGTCAATAAAATATTAATCTTTTTATTATTTATGAAAATACTTAACGTTACGATATAAGAGTAGGACTTTATTGTTACCTGACCGATAAACTCCGGCTTAGATTTAAATGCGCTCAAAATCGTATTTCCAATATTTACGTTGTGAAGTAATTCTTCTTCTCCACACAATACGTCCACTTTTTTGTTGGATTCCTAAAAGGTGCACAATAATGTTGTTAATAAGTTCTTATGTTTTTACTAATATGATGGATTGTATTATGCATTTATCTGTTACCTTAGACACCATATCGCTATTAATTTTTTAAATTAATAGTAATATTGACAGTACTTTTATCACAAGTATATATGCTTTTCTTATGTCGCAATGACAGTTATTAAATCTATTATTTATTTCTGTATCTTTGCGATATAGCGTTATGGCTGAATGTTAAACGAATATTATTTGGAGATGTCCTTCTAATCAAACTGCGTGTGTGTGTGTGTGTGTGTGTGTAGTTGATGTTACATGACAATGTTTTTATTTCTCTTTTGAGATTTATTTTTATATTCCCCGTATCATTATTAATTTTCTAAATTGTTTAGACTTAGTTTATGCTATTAATTCGATCTGTGTTAACTATCTTGCCATTTGTAATTTTAAAATTCTTATTTCGCTGAAAAATAAAAATATATAATACTTTCTCATTTCTTTTTTTACTATTTTAATTAACAAATATAAAATGTTAAGAATAGATTTTTTTTTACAAATGTAAGAGTTGTACGATTTTTTATATTTCTCGGAATTATTTAAATGATTATTAATAATTTGTTGTGATTTATTTCATGCCAATATTCATTAACTCAAATTTAATCCTATTAAAATAGACATGATTTTAACTCTTATTAGTAATCGCTAATTCAATGAATCCGAAAATTTTCTTTCACTGTATAAAAGATTATAATAAATATTGTAAGAAGTTTAGGCTCGTGTGATTGTAAAACAATATAGTTAATATCAAGGCTTATTATAAACGAGCAATTAAAGTTCATTTATATAATATAGATAAAATCTCATTTTAATGACTATACGTACAGTAATATCATTTTCAAACGTTATGACTTGCAAAGTCTTCTTCAGTGATGATAAATAATAACAATATATAACAAAATATAATTTATTAAAAGTCATCTAGCATACATAATAAATAAATTAAAATAAAATAATGATCGCTCTAGTCTATATTGATGTATGTACCTTGTCTGTTTTTTAAGAAATACTAGCACATTCCTTGCGCGCGCTACGCGCGCGATGGTCCATTATGGTCTTTTTAAATATTATGAATTATGTTTCTATGAAACTTGTTTTGAAATCAACAACTCCTCTAATTCCTACTAATACAAAATTTCCCTGAAATTTGAAAACCTTTAGAATTTCATTATTGTTTTCGATCGCCACATTAATTCTACCATTTTGATAAACAATATTTAGCTTATTTTTTTATTCAACGTTTATATCGAAAAATTCGACCCA